TGTGAGGTTCCTCATTCACACATACATACAAACTGACAGCATAACACAAAACAATATGCAACCAACCCAATGTAATACAATACAAGTTTCACCGCCTGTGCATACCACACTGTTGACGAATCTCTCAGGTGTGTTAGAGCGATAATCACACCGCGACATGATTAACAAGCCTACAGCTCAGCAGATTTTAATAAGTTACCTTTTTAATAAGAAAAGCAAGATTTATGGATGTCAACTTCTTTATTGTGAATAACACGAAGTTTCGGAGCATATGCTTGCTCCTTCATCAGGTGAAAATCAGGTCACAGTAATGCATTCCACTTCTTAATGCCCATCAAAGATTTAACTTACTTCCAGAGGCTTCTTTAAGAGGCATAAAAACTTGTTAATTAACAAGGCAGTAGGCCTTGTTAATTGGTGACTATTAACTGCCGTGACTCACTCATCAATCAACAAGGGATTAGGTCCCGGGGCGTGCAAATAACAATGATTTACCATCACCCACCAGTTATCTCCCCTTGTGGACATTTCCAAAATTGTAAATCTTTGGAAACATCATCAAATTGGAAATGTCTTGTAAATATGGACTTTTTTTCCAGTGAAATCACCGAATATGACCACGATGCATTAATAATCAGGGACCAGAGAAGATCCGGGTTAGAATTGATCTTCAGTAACCCATGCTTGTCGTAAGAGGCGACTAACAAGATCGGGTGGTTGACTTGGTTGACACATGTCATCGTATCCCAGTTACGTAGATCGATGCCCATGTTGTTGATCACTGGATTGTCTGGTGCAGACTCGATTATTTACAGACGCCGCCATATAGCTGTATTATTGCTGAGCGCGGCGTAAGACTAAACTCACTCGCTCAAACACTCATTTCAACAGTAACGCTTGATGACAACACTTTCCTTTTTGGAACAAGTTGTGACATTGTTCCTAAACCAGTAGCGGTCGCGGGATAGCCCAGTGTTTGAAACGGGGGGTTCCCACTTTGCCGGACGCTTTTGTTCGGAATAAAAAATCACTGATGCGCGATAATCCCTATAACAATAGAGGATTAAGTTATAGTTTGAAACGTTCGCTCGTCACGCAGCCCTTCCTTTTAAGATCAGGATTCTTTGAGAGGAATTTAGAATTTGGAGCAGTAAGGAGGGACAAAAATGGATGAACAAGTTCTTTATTACAGTGGGAGCGACGTTTCGGTGTTTTAATCTGATCGTAAGCAATATGTGGTTAGCTATGGTGGCTGATTGGGGCCATCGCTTTCTCGCCTTAAAATTCGGAGGCGAGAAAGCGAGAAAGCGATAACACGAGACGAGAAAGCGATAACGCGAGACGAGAAAGCGATAACGCGAGACGACAAAGCGATAACGCGAGATTGCCCTAATCAGCCACCATACTATGCTTCCCTATGTTATTGCAGCCTTTATCCTAATACTGTAATCACACTTCTTCACACGTGTATATGTGCCTGTCTATAATAATAATAATAATTGCATTTATATAGCGCATCATTCACTAATAAATGCTCTGTGCGCTTAAGATGGAAATTGACACTTGAAAAGAAATGTTTTGAGGCCAGTCTTAAAAGATGTTAGTGACTCGCTGGTTTTGAGTTCAAGCGGTAGCGCGTTCCACTTCATTGCTGCATTGAAAGCGAACGACCTTTTGCCAAAGTTGGGTTTGATGTTTGGCACTGTCACTAGCATTTGGTTTTGTGATCTCAGTGAGCGTGAGGGCTGATACAGGGGCAGTAACTCTGCGAGGTAGTCAGGGGCCATTCCGTTGAGACACTTGTACGTCATTACAATAGTTTTGTAGTCAATTCTTGCGGTGATTGGTAGCCAGTGTAAATCGTTTAGAATTGGAGTAATGTGATCGAAGACTTTAGACTTTGTAATGATTCTTGCAGCAGTGTTTTGGAGGGCTTGAAGGCGACGTAGCTGATCTTGGTTGACGTTGTTGAGGAGGCTGTTGCAGTAATCTACTCGGGACATGACCAGAGATAGGACAAGTTTTGAAGTAGCATCAGCACTCAGATAGTTGCGGAGTCTTCCAATGTTCCTGAGATGCATATGGGCATCCTTATTCTGTTCATCACATATTCGGTTGGGTAGCCTAGTTGTTCGATGCCCCACATGGGTACAATGTGTGAAGACCATTTCTGGCATCCCCCGACGTGATATTGCGTAATCACGCGGCGTAAAACCAAAGGCACTCACTCACTCATCACCTGTGCGATAGTTTTAACACTGTTAGAACCTACTTGCACTGTAACAAAGAAGTTGTTCATCCATATATTGTTATCGTACCTTTTACGATCTGATTAGCTTTATTTAGATCTGTGATTGCAAATGACAGCAAAACTGAAAAATTCTTAGTAGTAGTGTGCAACTACCAGAAAACGAAGAGTTACCTGTCTTTGTGAACACACTCAAGGGAAATGCAACCTCATTTCGCAAGACGAAGGTGTCGGGAGACGAGGTTGATTCGAGATCGCTTTTAGAGCGGCCATAAATTTCCTAGTCCCGAGATGGCATTTGGACGCCTTGTCAACATGACCAAGGAACAACCCTGATAGCAAACTGACAAGGAAAGTCACAGGGTGGAAGCGCTGTCCACGCGAAATGTTGAGTTGCCCCCAAAGCAACTCCATTTCCTCGATGGACAGTGAAAGAAGAACATGTGACGCAAGAGTAATGGTAGGATTTCCCTCGAATTTTCATAATTTTGCAAGTATATCAGATTTTGCCATTTAGCACAGGTCTTTCTATAATAGCTTGACACCCTCTCTATTTATTGCAATTATGCGTTAAGCGAGGGCACCCTCCTGAGTGTCGAAACAAGATCGCGGAAAATGATCGTTTCAACACGAAATATGACAACCTCATCAGCAAATTTTGCTGTCAATTCTTACATATAGTTATTTTAGGTCTTCATTAACAGTTTAGGCTTTAATGCGTCAGTATTTTTTCAGTTATCGTCGAAAAATCAAACTGTACATTTTATATGGAGTTACTCACGTTTAGCAAACAAAATGTCCATTGCGTTGTGATTTTACTGTCCAGGAGTTGACAGTTTGTAGTTTTAACCGTCATGTCATCAAACCTGGGTTTTCGGCGTGACGCGCGAACGCTTTAGCCACTAAGCTATCCCACCGTCTAGTTAAGGTAAGTAGACATCTTTGCGATAACGCCATGCTTTTGCTATATACTTCCTCCGTCAACCTGTGCCGCATGGTGGGGAACTGAGATTTGCTCAACTTTATTAATATGAACATGTCCAGCCCCTGTTGGGGGCCAGTGAGTCCTGTTATGGAACAACAACCTTCTTATCCAAATGTGGGCCAAAGACGTTTACCCCGTCAGCAAGTTGATTAGGTAAGGGTGTAATCTGTTAGATGACTCAAACTGCTTCTGTTTCGACGACATGCACGAGACTAACCCACTTGCAAAAGGGAGGACGCGATACCCATCTAAAAGGATAGACAACCCGACAAAGCCTTCAACACTATTTGCTGGATTCAACACGAAGCCCATGCATCAATCAAGACGTTCAGCTGTGATTCTGGATAATCGTGAGTTCATTTACCAATCGTTAGAGCTGTATTTTGTTGCTGATGCATATCTGACACGTTACACTCACCCGTGAAGACCTTGGTTGGAATTGGTCGTCAGCAACCTATGCTTGTGGTAAGAGGCGACTAACGGGATAGGGTGGCGCCGAAAAACTACATTCACCCCATCACTCACTGAGAGAAATAGGGATTGAAATGTATCATCAGATAATGCGTGTCGTTTACAGGAATTAAACATGGTTATGACTTGACCTCAAAAGCTCCCTTGAAGATCCGGGTTAGAATTGATCTTCAGTAACCCATGTTTGTAAGAGGCGACTAATGGGATCGGGTGGTCAGGCTTGCTGACTTGGTTGACACATGTCACCGTATCCCAATTGCGAGATCGATGTTCATGATGTTAAACACTGGATTGTCTGGTCCAGGCTCAATTATTTACAGACCGCGGTCCTATGGCTGAAATATTGCTGAGCGTGAGGATTAAATTAAACCCACCCACCCCAAACATTGCCCGAATTAATCGAATATGACCCTATGTTAATCAATTCCCTTGTCTTCATTATGATTAGTTGATTGTTCATCGATCTTATGCGGTTGTGTACCGATTTCAAAATTCAGATGTACCCGCCAATTTTTCCGGGGTAAGCCTTTGCGTTTCAACCTGTTAATCAACTCGAAACATAATGGAAAGGTTCTCTTACAAGAGCAGTATTTTCGCAGACACAAGTCTGAATTTCTTTGGTTTATGTAAGAGTTATTCTTGTTTCCGATAACCTAGTGAAAACAGCGTGGTGAAACATCACCAAACATTTTCTCATGAGAACGAGAGACGTTTATATCCATATTCCTGAACTGACTTCATGGCAGTGTAATGAAAGAATTAGAAATTGCACAGTTTTGGGAATCGACCCCAGCTTAGGAGGAGGTACGCTTTTTATGGATAGACAACTTCTTTATTGCAGTGAATGCGACGTTTCGGTGTAGATCCTAACACCGTTATTCAAGAATTGAGTTAAAAATTGAATGCAGGGAATCGACCCCAGATTAACTGGCCAATACCTACACCACAAGGCTATTTAACCGCCCCGTTAACTGAGAGACGGACTACCGAGGTCAATGACTGGTTTGTCCAGATGGGCATGATCGTCGTTGACGACATGGGATACGATGTTTCTTCTGCACCTACAACCTCATTTTACGCGCTGTTTGGTAGCCGAGTGGTTAAAGCGTTCTCTTGGAACCCGAATCCCGGGTTCGATTCCTCACATGGGTACAATGTGTGAAGTCTATTGCTGGTGACGCCCACCGTGATATTGCTGGAATATTGCTAAAGGCGGCGTAACACTATGCTCACTCACTCACTCTTCAGCATCCACAGGCTATGTATATAATAAAGATAATGACTCTGAGACTCATCTTGAGATGAACTGATCACTTGAAAGTTTTATTGAAATTGCTCGTGTACAATGATTTCTATTGCTGGCCGGCGAACACGTTTCCAACATCATACCACAACGAAGGAAACGCGTAACCTTTCTAGACTCGAAGGGACTTGTATAAACTGTTGACCTCTTTCATGACGCTCTGAGAATAAAAAAGAATATTCGTAAACTGACATGTACTTTCAAAGTAAAACAGTCTCATTAAAATCACATCCTAATTCATGGCGCTCAGAAACCACAAGGTGTGAAAAATATCCATAACAGTATTTCTTAAAGACATTCCGTGAGGTGAGGTGAAATGGGGTTTAACGCACAAGAACCCGTTATCGCTATGTAAGGTCTATGTTTAACCTACATAGCGATAACGGGTTCTTGTGGTTTAACGTCGTACTTAAGAATATCTCGCTCATATGACGACGTGCATGCGTGTGTATGTGTGGCTGCTTGCACTTGCCCAGACTTGAGCTGGTTTTAAAGTGTTAGCTGACTGAGATACCATGCCGCAGTTAAGTAGTACTCAGAGACTTTATACTGACTCCGAGAAGATCAGGCCTTGTTGTCTTTAATACCGAGCGCAAGGCATTCGGAACTACCCGATAATTTATCTGGCATCAACAATGATCAGCTTATTTGAAAGCTCAAATGGTACGACTTCTTGTCTGAGGTTGTGTCTGAGTAAATAGTCTGTTTTGCTCTGATGAGTAAATTAGAGTTTTTTTACCATTGCGACTTGAGGGAGAATTCTTCACATGCTAACAGTGCACATTCTAAGATACAAAAAGCGTGTCTCTGATGTTGCTGGGCGTGACTCACCTTTCTACAGAAGGATGGGGGGTCGAAGACGGTGACGTCCCTGATGCCGGGAAAGATGTTGTTATAGCCCAGGGCGTACAAATAGTTGTCTGAAAAGAATATCACACATATATTATCACACAATGTAGGAACACAATAAAAACATGTCCTCCAAAACGTGACAAACACCGCACATGAATGCACAATCTGAACCTTCCTTCGTTCACGAACTCAAGTACAATCTGACCCATCACATGCACAATAACCCCGGCACAATCCGGCACTTATGCTGTTCACATCTGCACATACACTTGTGCAGACAAACTCCGGTACAATCTGAATCTCCCAATGCAGACTAACTCCGGTACAATCTGAATCTCTCAATGCAAACTAACCCCGGTACAATCTGAATCTCTCAATGCAAACTAACCCCGGTACAATCGGAATCTTCCAATGCAAACTAACCCTGGTACCATCTGAATCTTCCAATGCAGACTAACCCCGGTACCATCTGAATCTTCCAATGCAAACTTACCCCGGTACAATCTGAATCTTCCAATGCAGACTAACCCCGGTACAATCTGAATCTCCCAATGCAGACTAACCCCGGTACAATATCTGAATCTTCCAATGCAAACTAACCCCGGTACAATCGGAATCTTCCAATGCAGACTAACCCTGGTACAATCTGAATCTCCCAATGCAGACTAACCCCGGTACAATCTGAATCTTCCAATGCAGACTAACCCCGGTACAATCTGAATCTTCCAATGCAGACTAACTCCGGTACAATCTGAATCTCCCAATGCAGACTAACCCCGGTACAATCTGAATCTAACAATGCAGACTAACCCCGGTACAATCGGAATCTTCCAATGCAGACTAACCCCGGTACAATCTGAATCTCCCAATGCAGACTAACTCCGGTACAATCTGAATCTTCCAATGCAGACTAACTCCGGTACAATCTGAATCTTCCAATGCAAACTAACCCCGGTACAATCTGAATCTTCCAATGCAAACTAACCCCGGTACAATCTGAATCTTCCAATGCAGACTAACCCCGGTACAATCTGAATCTTCCAATGCAAACTAACCCCGGTACAATCTGAATCTTCCAATGCAGACTAACCCGGTACAATCTGAATCTTCCAATGCAGACTAACCCGGTACAATCTGAATCTTCCAATGCAGACTAACCCCGGTACAATCTGAATCTTCCAATGCAATCTTCCAATGCAAACCGGTACAATCTGAATCTCCCAATGCAGACTAACTCCGGTACAATCTGAATCTTCCAATGCAAACTAACCCCGGTACCATCTGAATCTTCCAATGCAAACTAACCCCGGTACAATCTGAATCTTCCAATGCAGACTAACCCCGGTACAATCTGAATCTCCCAATGCAGACTAACCCCGGTACAATCTGAATCTTCCAATGCAGACTAACCCCGGTACAATCTGAATCTTCCAATGCAGACTAACTCCGGTACAATCTGAATCTCCCAATGCAGACTAACCCCGGTACAATCTGAATCTGACAATGCAGACTAACCCCGGTACAATCGGAATCTTCCAATGCAGACTAACCCCGGTACAATCTGAATCTCCCAATGCAGACTAACTCCGGTACAATCTGAATCTTCCAATGCAAACTAACCCCGGTACCATCTGAATCTTCCAATGCAAACTAACCGCGGTACAATCTGAATCTTCCAATGCAGACTAACCCCGGTACAATCGGAATCTTCCAATGCAGACTAACCCCGGTACCATCTGAATCTCCCACTGCAGACTAACCCCGGTACAATCTGAATCTTCCAATGCAGACTAACTCCGGTACAATCTGAATCTTCCAATGCAAACTAACCCCGGTACAATCTGAATCTTCCAATGCAAACTAACCCCGGTACAATCTGAATCTTCCAATGCAGACTAACCCCGGTACAATCTGAATCTTCCAATGCAAACTAACCCCGGTACAATCTGAATCTTCCAATGCAGACTAACCCCGGTACAATCTGAATCTTCCAATGCAGACTAACCCGGTACAATCTGAATCTTCCAATGCAGACTAACCCCGGTACAATCTGAATCTTCCAATGCAGACTAACCCCGGTACAATCTGAATCTCCCAATGCAGACTAACTCCGGTACAATCTGAATCTTCCAATGCAAACTAACCCCGGTACAATCTGAATCTTCCAATGCAAACTAACCCCGGTACAATCTGAATCTTCCAATGCAGACTAACCCCGGTACAATCTGAATTTTCCAATGCAGACTAACCCCGGTACCATCTGAATCTTCCAATGCAAACTAACCCCGGTACAATCTGAATCTTCCAATGCAAACTAACCCCGGTACAATCTGAATCTTCCAATGCAGACTAACCCCGGTACAATCTGAATCTTCCAATGCAGACTAACCCCGGTACAATCTGAATCTTCCAATGCAGACTAACCCCGGTACAATCTGAATCTCCCAATGCAGACTAACCCCGGTACAATCTGAATCTCCCAATGCAGACTAACCCCGGTACAATCTGAATCTTCCAATGAAGACTAACCCCGGTACCATCTGAACCTTCAAATGCACAATAGCCCCGATACAATGTGAATGTTCTGAGGCAAACTTACTTCCGGGACGGAGGATGGTGGTTGTACTGATGATGGGCACGCAGTCCCGGCGGCTGACAACGGCAACAGTGTTCTTAAACTCGTTTCTCGTGTCATTGAACTGGTAAGCTATCGCAGAAAGGCTGTCGGTGCCAAAGCCGTAGAAGAGAGGACCCATCTCGACAGCGCCACCTAAAAAGCAAATGATCAATGCAGTTTTCTTTATAAACAACAAGGTGATGTCTATCCTTTCGGTACAGGATACAGTCGTTCACTTTTTAGGAATGCCTTTTCGTTGTTGAATAAACATGTCGCTAAGAACCTGTACTGCTCGTACAGTACAGTACAATCTATTGGTGGTTAGGCCCTTTGACTAAATGTATTTTGTCTCATCATGGGGACGGTGGGGTAGCCTAGTGGTTACAGCGTTCGCTCGTCTCGCCGATCCGGGTTCGATTCACCACATGGGTACACTGTTCGTAGTCCATTTCTGGTGTCCCCGCTGCGATATTACTGGAATATTGCTGAAAGCGGCTTAAAATTAACTCACTCACGCACACACTGTGGGTGGTAGGGTAGCCCAGTGGTTAAAGCGTTCGCTCATCATGCCGAACACCCGGGTTCTGGAATATTGCTAAAAGCAGCGTGAAAACAAACTCAGTCAGTCAGTCGCCTTATCGGGGTCTTCTCGTTCACTCAGCAGCTTAGGGGATTAACAGTTATGCTTGATTGATTGTACAAATACTGGTCGTCCCTGTGACAAGCTGCTGATTTGTCTGTGACTCAGTACACAGATTGTGTAGTTCTGGAGTTAACAATGATTGTAACTCAAAATATGCACTGAGGTGAAGTAAATTGTTAATCTTATAATGCCAATCCAGTAATATGAAAAACCAATGTAAAATAGCAGTATTCTAACCCTTGACACCCTTTATTTTTCCACTATCATCATAGACCTTAAGCATTTCATGGCATCCACTAGGGTATCTACAAGATTCCAAACATATCAACTGACACCCGTACTTGATACAGCGAGTAATTATCTGACACATAAGTGGGTATCTGCCTGTCTCACCGAGAATGGCATTTGTTGAGACTGTTCTACAGGCACCTATATATCTCTTAAAGAAATTTCCCTGTACTTTTTCTTTTTTTATATGTATATTTATATTTATATTAGGAGATGGAAATTATGAATATGTGTCATGTTAAAATGAACGTGTTCGATCAATATTCTGTCACAGTGATTCCTTAAATTAAAAGATTTCAAAGATTACAGGATCATACAACACAGTGACTAAATATCCCAGGTGACTAAATATCACAGGGAACAAAATAGAAAGCGCACCTTTTGTAATATGGGATTACCTCGCTCCACTTACCTTGAACCCTAAAACAACAGCTGCTGGGTAAGTGAGAATGACCCGCTTTATCATGCTTGGGACCTTACTTATAATACGCTGGTATGCCTAACCGGGACGTGATCATTAACAAGTAGACCAAGCTGGATATGGTTGAGTGCGACATTAAAAACTAACAATACAAAGCACTTTCACTTTCCATCAAGTATTCAGTGATGTACTCACTCACTGTAATAATCTTACACCGTTATAACGCAATGGGTGTGGAATGGCTCACCAGGAATGCAGTTGGCCGGGAAGCTCCCAGACACGGAGAACGTCTCGCACGTTTGCTTGTCACTGTCGATGCGGAAGCCGGTTCCCTGCAATCAATCAATCAATTGAATACAAGGTATAAAAGATCCATATTTTCCGGTAGATATTGTATTATGCGACTTTCGCCAGGTCCAATACTACCTTGCCGTGAAACAGGCCCTCTTTGAAAAAAATATATTTAATGATTAATAATGATGATGATAATTATTATTATTATTCACTCCATGTGCATGTTATCACAAGGGTCAGACAATGTCTTGAAGTTATTTTCTATTCAAGGATTAAGGCGATTCGCGGTACACCATTTTACACCAGGTTCGATATAATTCAGTTATACCACAATAATTAAAAAATACTTCAGATTGTGGACACAAATTTGTATTTTTTATATGATGTTGAAAAAATAAAAATCTATTTATTCAGTAGTAAAATCTGTTATTTCATTTTTTATTTCTACGTTCAAAACATATGTGAGAAAGTGAGTGCCTTCGAAAAACGCCGCTTTTCGCAGTATTCGGGTATATGAACTTGAAGGATGTTGGCTTAAAGCTTTTCAGCCGAAAAGTAGTAAAATAATAAAAATCATGGCGAGCAAGGCGAGGAGCCGAATTTGATAACGCTGGACAAATAACATGTTCCTGAAACATGGAATCCAGCGAATAGGATATACGACGTTTCTAGCACCGGCTTGCATATTATAATTATGTCTGAAATTTGGTACATCTGCCTGACGAGCGGCCAGTCTCTCCTTGGGCTAGCCATCCACCCTTCAAGGAAGAAGTGTCTTTCAAGCGCTTTTCCTTCGTCTATCCAGTATAGTGGGAGCTGGAATCCGGTGGAATCCAACCAGAACCGGATTTCACAAAGCGACCTTGACACTGACGGATCTCGTTATAATGACTATTCTCAGCCAGATATCCGCCTAGTTCGGTTAGGGTGGAATCTGGACTTGTATGGCCAGTTACTTCCCTTGCATCCGGAGGATGTTCTGATGGCTGTTTCGTGTCATCTCACAACAACTATGTTGTATTTATACATTTGCATTGTATGTGTTTCGGGTTTTGCCAAATGTTAACCTTGATCAACACTGATTTCAATCCTATCGACCGATGGTTGTCAGCTGACCCAATGTTAATTTTGAATTTTAAACTTTAAATATGAATGCTCAGTTGTATATAAAATGTTAACACAAGAGAATTATGCATCTTACCTGGCGGTAGTCCCAGATTTCCTTGTAGGAACTGACAAAAGCAGTGTAGTTGCCGCTGATCGCGTACCTTTTGTTGAGGGCGTCATAGGAATAGTATTGGAGGCCCTGAACAGAGAAGAGACTTGATTAGATATAATTAGAAACGATACTTATTCAGGGCCGACTCAGACATAGTGCAACTATGATGGCGTTTGTAAATATTCCATTCTAGACAAGACAATCCTGTGATTATGTGCAACCACTGACATACGTGGAGGTAGGAAGCAAGTGAGAATGCCTAACTGACACCTCCAATAAATCGTCTCTTACCACATTCATCATCTTTAACCTGGGATCCTTTCAGTGTAGACCCGTGAAGATCCGGGTTAGAATTGATTTTCAGTAACCCATGCTTATCGTAAGAGGCGACTAACGGGATCGGGTGGTCAGGCTCGCTGGCTTGGTTGACACATGTCATCGGTTCCCAATTGCGCAGATCAATGCTCATGCTGTTGATCACTGGATTGTCTGGTCCACAGTCGATATTTACAGACCGCTGCCATATAGTTGGAATATTGCTGAGTGCGGCGTAAAACTAAACTCACTCACTTACTTTCAGTGTTGAATAGATAAGACTCAAATGGCGTGAGGGATGATTTTACGCACGTCTTAGACGTTTACCGCTTGGCTGGAATTAACGAGCACCAGGAACTCCAAACGCCAACGACAGAGGGGTAGAACTATTGTTAAAGCTTTCGTGATTATGATAATCGATTCACGTCGTAGACGTAGGGTGCAAGAAACTCCACTAACTTGGGGGAACCAACTGCAAACCTTATGCAGATGAATTGCATGAGGATCATGCATCCAATTGCTGAAAAGCATGTGCAAATATCGTGCAAGTGAACAGCTGCGTTTTGGTGTAAAGTTCTGTTAAGAATTCACCAGTTTTCGCGGATTTTTATCATTTATTGAACTCATGACAATAATCTTTTCAACGTTACGAATTTCTTTTACAATACATCTGTTCATGTGAAAACAGTACCTTTAAACAATATGGAATATTTTGCAAAATCTAGTTTAGAACAGTTGACTGAAGTAAAGGAGCCCCAGTTAGTTGGGAGATTCGGGACCTGGGGGAATCTAGACTTGTTAAACGTGTGGACGTTAAAATAAATTTAACATTAACATGTGACGATATGACGCCGCTCTCCCACCTGCTGAGTCAGCAAGGAGAGTATAACCATTATGTTAGGTGTTAATAGCACTAATACACTGGCGTGCAAGCACGCGCTCCCATTTGCTTTGAAAGTCTTTCTACAAGGAACAAATTCAGATAACAAAAATCAAATATATTATCTATAGATTATAGATTATCCCGTGCGTACCACATTCCTTCATACTAATTTACAGCTTTAACAGTTACCACGAAACAATTATTGTATTAAATAATTTCTCAGTTTTTAACGAGCTTTTATATACTCATGCCAAAAATGGTCGTCACCCCCTTTAGTTTTTTTTATTGGAGAGGGCTTGTGGGTTGTGTGTGGGTTGGGGTGGGGAAGGGGGTGACAACCATTATTGGCATGAGTATATATCATTGTACATTGTTAAACCAGAACTAATATTTAACAAATGATTCCAATTCCGGGAAAAACTTGATTTCTAACACATTTTATAAACGTTTCGTTAAACACACATATTTCCCGTAAAAAAACACACAAAGCTTGATAACAAAACCGAGATTGAATGTCATAGGTGTTGAATTATCCAGGGTTTTGATTTGAAAATTGCTTAATTTTGTCAAAGCATTTCATAATCAGTGAAAGCATACAACCGAAGAATGAATAATTTTGAAAAGATACAACACCAGTGAAAGTTCTGTCGGTAATATTCGGCGCTCGATACAGCGAGGTTCGACTTTGCGGGAGAACCAGCTGAATGTCATGATTTTGAATTTTTAAAATTCCTTAACCTGCTCTCGTTTATGAAGAATGAAGGGAGACTACTGAAGTACTTTTTAATCACGACACAACTAGGATGATTAACTTTCTCATTGAAACAAAACATTGAAACCGAGAACTGAATAAGCCAGTTTTAGTTTGAAATTTTAATAATCCCAACTAAGAGGTAAGTCCCGTTGGTGATATTGTTAATTAAAGTGAATTAAAGTTAAGTTAATCTGTATTAAAGTACTTACACGTTCTCCACCTGAGGAGTCGACAATGGTGTAGTCTTTGAACGCTTCCCATTGCTGAGGAGCACAGCAGATGGTACCATGGGCGACAATCGCCAGGCTGGCGAGTAGAACTGCCTGCAGCATCATGTTGAGGAGTCGTCAAGTCTTCAGTCAACCGGGAAGCCTTCTGTCGCCGAGTCGTGGATAGGGTGAATGCGGGCTCCTTTTTATGTACACTGTCCAGCATCCTTCAAGGTCACCCGGGCCCCGGATGACCTGTACGTGTTTGAGAGTGTAATTCATCACTTCTTTATGTAACGAGTGGCCACATAATAAATCATGCATTTGGGTAAACTAATGGGGTGTTTATGATTAACATAACATCAGATTTTCACTTTGTTATGCAAACGTTTTCGTCCTTGTTTCTCGCCTTAAAAATGTTGTTATTACTGAAACGTAAAAAATCATATGTTTTTGTGGTATAATATCACGTGAAACGACTTGTATAATATATCAAGACGCTTTGTTTGCTTGACCTAACATTTTTGTGACGATGCATGTATTTTCATCATCATCATCATCATCATCATTCTACTTGTCCAAGATATTTTTTATGGATTAAACTTCTTTTTAAATTTCTCTCACAACGTTTCGAGACCATTCCAGGTCCCTTCATCAGGTGAACTGTCAGTTAGGACTATGTCAGTTAGTCATAGTCCTAACTGACAGTTCACCTGGTGAAGGGACCTGGAATGGTCTCGAAACGTTGTGAGAGAAATTTAAAAAGAAGTTTAATCCATAAAAAATATCTTGGACATCAATGTACAACTTCTAAATGCCACTGAAAGACATCATTCTACTTGTTTTTCAGTTTGGAATGTACAGACATGTTGAGCTGGTGCCCAACATCTGTTAGTATATTTTTTACAATACATATACATATACCAGTCTCACGCCTCTTTACAAAGAGAAATTGTAGATCACATTGCGCCTAAAAAATGTTCTTGTTTTACACCGGTTTTCGGTCTTAGCAGAGTGTCTTTTCACGTAGAGATAACAGCCTCGCCCATTGTTTCGAGCAAATGAATTTATTTACATGCACAGAATGTTAATGAAATCTACCTGAATGTTGCGTATATGTAGACATGTAGGTTAATATGATAATTTAATGTTTTCTCTCCTTAAAAGGACTAAACATTCAACTAATCAATTATATTCCGACGTATGCTCTTTCTTCGTGAAGTCGGGTTAAAACTTTACTCGTTTACCACCACTACTACTAGTACTACTACTACTAATACTACTACTATTACTACTACTACTAGCACTAGTGAGTGAGTATTGTTTTACGCCGCTTTTTAGCAATATTCTAGCAATATCACGTCGGGGAACACCAGAAATGGGCTTCACTCATTGTACCCATGTGGGAAATCGAACCCGGGTCTTCGGCGTGACGAGCGAACGCTTTAACCACTAGGCTACCCCACCGCCCCACTACTATTACTAATATACTGAAAACGATTAAAACGCAATTTGACATTCATACTTTCTCTACTCACACAAATGTGAACATATATAAATGTAACTGGCAGATATGTTTTAAGTGACTATCTGTGGATAATTTCATCTGAAAATGTCCAATCAACAACAACATCTGTGACGCAACAACGACATCAAACAAAGGAGGGGTCACTTGCAGTCAATATCGTGTGTGTCCACCGTGCGCTGCAAGACATGCTCCCAGTCTCTGGGACATTGAAAGGCACAAATTTCTCGGGAACAGCCGTGGGATGGCCTGCCAGTGATGTTTAAGTGCCTTGGTCAATTCCGCAACTGTCCTTGGTGGCACAAGTTGATTTCGAACTCCCCGTTCAAGTTCATCCCACACATGCTCGATTGGGTTCATGTTTGGGGACAATGAAGGCCAGTCCATCACACGACTGACTGACTGAGTATGGCTTTACACCGCTTTTAGCAATATTCCAGCAACATCACGGCAGGAGACACCAGAACATTCTCATAATTTAAAAAGTCCTTTGTTAACTTGGCTGCAGGGGGACGAGCATTATCATGCTGAAACCCATAATGGTTACGACCGCCATGTTGAGCCATCATTTTGAGTAGAGCCGGACGAAGGGTATTGTCCACATAACGGTGAGCATTCAGATTGCCGTTAACCACTACCATCTGAGATCGGAAGTTGGCATTGATAGCACGCCAGATGTGGCGCAAGTCTTTCTCCTCGACGTCGATAAATCCGTTGACGTCCCCCTGCAAAGGATACGTTAAACCTGGATTCATCTGAAAAATTGACATCTCGCCATGGCCTTTTGCCAAGATTGGTCCCATTAGTTGCCCATCGGTGTCTGGCAAGTCTGTGGCGATACAATAAGGTTGGACCACGGTACGGGCGACGACACCGGATGTTGAAGGCAGCAAGGCGTCCTCGCACCGTTTGGGTGCTGACATGACGTTGTGTTGTCCAAATTGTCCTCCTTGCCGTATCAGCAGCAGTTTGGAACCGATTTCGCAAGTGTGAAACTCGGATATTGCGGTCCTGTCGTGCTGTCGTCACAGGTGGTGCACCAGGTCTCGGACGATGGATGAACATTAAAGTGACTGGCAATCATCACATCTGAAGCACCTTGGCTGACCATACCGATAGCCTGCTTCCTTTCGTCTTGTGTCAAGCGTGTTCATGTCAGAGGAATGCTCGGGGACTCGAACTCGAAATGGGTCAGAATAACAGCCTTTTGTCACAACATCCACTGTATCGAAAAAGAAAATCTTCAATAGAACTTTTCTAAATTCCAGGACAACAAATACCAATTGCGTTTTTAATGACATTCAGTATACTACTACTACTACTACTACTGCTGCTGCTGCTGCTGCTGCTACTACTACAACTACTACTACTACTGCTGCTACTGCTGCTACTACTACTACTACTACTACTACAACTACTACTACTGCTGCTACTGCTACTTCTACTACAACTACTGCTGCTACTACTACTAGGACTACTACTACTACTACTACCACTACTACTACTACTGCTACTATACTACTGCTACTACTACTACAACTACTACTACTAATACTACTACTACTGCTGCTACTACTACTACTATTACTACTGCTGCTGCTACTGCTACTACTAGTACTACTACTACTACAACTACTACTACTGCTACTACTACTATACTACTACTACCACTTCTACTACTATACTACTACTACAACTACTACTGCTACTACTACAACTACTACTACTACTGCTACTACTACTACTAGTACTACTACTACTGCTACTACTACTACTACTATTTTATTACTACTGCTACTACTACTTCTACTACGACTGCTACTGCTACTACTACTAGTACTACTACTATACTACTTACTACTACTGCTACTACTACTGCTACTACTACTACTACTACCACCACTGGTACTACTATACTACTATACTACTACTGCTACTACTACCACTACTACTACTACTACTACTACTACTACCACTACTACAACTACTACTACTACTACCACTGCCACTGCCACTACCACTACCACTACTCACTACTACCACTACATACCACTACTACTGCCACTGCTACTGCTAATACCACTGCTACTCACAACCACTACTCACTACCACCACTGCCACCACTACTACTGCCACCACCACCACTACTACTACTACACCACTACCATACTCAATACTATACCACTGCTACTACCACCACCACCACTACTACCACTCACTCTACCACTTCACCACTACCACTACTACCACTACTACTACCACCATACTACATACCACTACTCTCACCACTACCACTACTCTACTACCACTACTCTACTACCACTCTACCTCTACTACTACCATACCACTACAACCACTACCATACTACCACCACTACTACCACTCTACCACCACTACTACTACTACTCTACTCTACTCACTACTTTACTACTACTACTACTACTATACCAATACTATACTACTACTCTACTAC